AAACATAATGATGTAACAGTATGTCATCATTCAAGATTTGTGAACTTTCATTTTCTCTTGATTCTGTAAATCACAGGATAAATTACATAAATTATAAAATAAAGTTGGATATTATTTTTGATAGCTCAATCAACTAATTTTTAATGTAAAAATTCAGGATAAAAGTTAAAAGTTAGTTTTTGTATTTCCTCAAGCTTTAGTAATATATTTAATGTTTTAGTAACCCTAAAGGTGCTGTTATCAATAGATATGTGATATCTAATTAACTTCAATCTTTCTTTTAAAAACATTTTATAAAACATGCCTACATGTTTGTAAACCAATTTGGTTATAATATAACATGTCAATCTTCTTAATAATTAGTATGTAAGCATTCATATTAGCAAATATTTAGTTTGGAAGAAACCGTGTTTTCTTCTGAGTTTTATTCATTAACATCTCATGCAGCTCGATTGTTGATAAGTAAAACTAGGAAAACTTAATTACAGAATTATAAATAACTAAACAGCCAACTGTGGGGCTACTCTTGTCTGGCAGAATAGTGGAATTTGACATTAACCTAGTTAATAGCACACAAACAGCCAACTGTGGGGCTACTCTTGTCTGTTAGGATAGTGGAATTTGACATGAACCTAGTTAATAGCACATACACAGCCAACTGTGGGGCTATTCTTGTCTGGCAGGATAGTGGAATTTGACCGTTCCTCTTACAGTGCATTCATGACCCCAAAGTATGGGGTGATTTTTGTGGCAACTGGTCGCGAACTAGGAACCCTCAAATTCACAGTATGAACACCAAAACACTAAGCTATGCCAAGTCCTCGTTCTGAAATGTGGAAAGCTTGTGGCCTACGTGTGCTATTAACTAGGTTCATTCCTTTAAATATAGATCAGTTCTTATTATGCTTAGATAGCCCTTTGTGTAGCCTTGCACGAAAATTCTAGAACAAGTAAACTAAAAAAATGAAAAGGTGTATACTTTTGGTAATCTCGAAGCGTCATTCAACTTAGAAATTCGTGTAATCTGTACAAGTGGTTATATTATTCGTACATAAGAAATATAACTGTTTTGTATAATAAAGCTAAGGTCATAATATTTTTCTTTTCCGCATTTGTTTCTCAAAATCAGCTACACTTATTTTTAGAATTAAATATATATTTATTCAGTGTGAAATGTGAGCCACATATATTGGCATTGAGAAGAAAAAATAGTTTTGTAAATGTACGGTTCTATGAACTAATGGTTTGAAGAAAAAATACCTATCTTTCAACTGTAAGATTACAAAAATTTTGGTCGCGTGCACGTTGGAATTAAAATTTTGTGTAAAGCATCCGTTTTGTTTTGATATAAAAAAATACTGAAAAGCTTCGTGCCAATCTACACACATACACAAACACGAATCGCAGTTCCATTGGTTCTGGTGTGATAACTGCGAAACAGAATATAGAACTGCTCTACGAATTCTCTTCCAGTAAAGATAACGTAATAACTTTACAAAATGTTGTTGTTGTTTTTTTATGTGTGTAAGGTAGCAAAGCATTACCTGCGGGATTTGTAAACATTAATCAAAAGTCTATCTTTGCCATTTTCTCTTTAGAAGGAAATGAATGGAGTAGCATGAGCGACAAAGGATGGATCTATGGCAAGAATGCACGTTTCCACAACGGAATATAACCAGTAATGTCTTCCGGTTATGCGTTGTTAGTCGCTAGCTAATACGCGTTATTTCCGCGAGAGCAGGTTTTTATTCGATCCGTTTCGGTTTTTACACCGTTTCTGCCTCTAACAGTATTTAACTTGAGTGTGTAATAGTCGTATACGACATCAATCACTTTGGGTTAGACCGACTTTATTGTAAAATGTAAGTAACTATTACCTTTCCTACTGATCACATTTAGCAATTGCACATAATGAAATTTATTCTGACAGATTCTTGGTAGGGTATTTGGTATTTTCAGTTGAGTAGTAAGTACCTTATGAAACACATGGATTAAACAGACAGGTTAGAAGTTTCTGATACCCAAGAATAGCCAACCCTAATTTAGGACTTCTGTAACTAGGAGGGCATCCATTGAGTGCCAATTAGTGTTTATTATGTGGCCACTCTGAGCCAAATGGCAGAATTACTTGTCACAGTTATGCCCCCACAACTGAAGTCCGGAGCATGTAACGTCATATTGCGGTTTGAACCTTGGATCTTTACATCTGCTGCTTGGCACACTAACCACTAGGCTACGCCCTGTCTAGATTATACACACTGTGTGATATATATATCTAGATTCGCTTTTAATGAGAAGATATTTCTATTTTGTATTTTAATTAAAAATAGGCTCCGTATTATCGATCTAAATGTGGTTTGTTTGTTTGTTTTGAATTTCGCGCAAAGCTACACGAGGGCTATCTGCGCTAGCCGTCCATAATTTAGCAGTGTAAGACTAGAGGGAAGACAGCTAGTCATCACCACCCACCGCCAACTCTTTGGCTACTTGTTTACCAACGAATAGTGGGATTGACCGTCACTTTATAACGCCCCCACGGCTGAAAGGGCGAGCATGTTTGGTGTGACGGGGTGTGACCCTCAGATTGCGACTCGAGCGCCCTAACCACCTGGCCTGCCGGGCACACCTCTAAATGTGGTATTAAATTATGTATAAATTTAAAAGTCTTATAACAAGAAGGCATACTACAGCTAAATGTGCCACTGATTTCACTTATTTTGTATCGAGACATTTATGACATTTATTGATTCGATTCAAATTAACACTTCAGTTTATTTTTGTCTTTAAGTAACAGAATAATTAATTAAGCATTTCATTAGGAAAAAATAATTTTCTTGCGGCAATTGAGGTTAACTTATACTTGGGATATAGATTTCCAGAAATGATTTAACAAACAATTTCTCACCATGATGCCGTAAGATACACCTTTATATCACAAAGATCTAAGACTGCAATGTCAAAATATGTTAAACAAATGTATGAAGACTTCAGGAACAACTGTTCTGTATCGTATGACTGCTTGGCTACGGTTTTAAATAGTTAAATGGCTTTAAGTATCCAGAAACAAACACGTTTTATTTTTTATGTATTGTGCTTTTTGTAAAACAACGTTCTTCCTATTAAAGGATTCACTTAGTAACGAATACTGTGATTTTCTAAGCTTTTCACAAATTCATAATACCGCAAGAAACCTTATACACGAAATGACAAAATAACATACTTATTCTTTTAAATAAGAAATTATAACTTAACAACTGTCTGATCTATTTGGTCTTGTGAATTTTTAAACAGTTTTATACGCACAGTTTTATTATGGTTATAGACGCCATATTTGCTTCTTAATAAGTGTTGTTGGAGGTATTGTTGTTTGTTGATTTACGCGTAAAATTACTCGTGTTTAGCTAGAATCTGCATTATTCTTAAACTAGAAACAGTATCTATTTTTAACAGCATTTTTTCTTATAAAGAGTACTTTTATAGGTTTTTCTTATCCCCCCCCCCTCTAACTCTTCTTGGATTGGTTTGGAATTTAATGCAAAGCTGCACGAGGGCTGTCTGCTCTAGCAGTCCCTAATTATGAAGTAATAGGTTAGAGGAAAATCATCTAGTCAACACCATCTACCGCCAATTGTTGGGCTACTCTAATCGAATAGTGGAATTTACCCGTCATTCTTATAACACATCCTCACAGTATCTCCAGCTTCACTAACAGTTAGTATCAGTTCTTTCGTGATGGTCATTCACGTCGAAAACGTGCTATGTTTATTACACAAGTCGGTCAACCGAATGGTGTATGTCAACAGCAAGGATTAACCTGTATCATCTTAACAAACATGATAAGACAGTCGACGTACGATGCCATAAAACATTGTATCTACTCGTCTTAACGGTCAACTACCACACAGCCCTGCTGCATAAAATATTAGTATCTGTGGTTGAATTCGCAACTCATTGCAGAAGACTTTTTCTACCATGTGTCAACTGAGAGTAAAATCTAGAATGTTTTAAAATTTTCTAGCTTTTGAAAAGCACTGTTCTGTAAAACAAGTTACTTTACTGATATGTTAATGTTAACCCTATAATTAAATGTGATTTCTATTTTTATTTATATAATTTTAATAACAAAATAATTGTCGTGGAAAATATACCTGAAGAATTGTTGTTAATTTATGTTATAAATTTAGTTAGTCTTTTCCAATGCATTTTTATTTATTGTAACTTCAATTAATGGGTAATAGAGAAGGAGCAGCATAGCTATCTATTTAAACTGTTTCATGAGCATATTTGACAATGATCTGGTCTCTGACTAAATTATAAGCGTACCGATCAGTAGCTCCAAGATCATGATAAAAAAATTGTCACTTTATGGAGGTTTTTATGCATATCATCAAAGTATTAACTCACATTTTGGATTTGTTATATGATTTAGGATTTAACAAGTTGTTTAGCATCGTAGCAGGAGATTACGCTAAGTTTTCCTAAGAATATCTATCAATTCTATTAATAATTATAATAATTGCTTCCCAATATCTTATGAACCAAACATAACCCTGGCTCAAACAATCTTTATCTACATTTATCAGATGAAGGATATATTTGTTTTCTATGTAACATTTGTTCTTAACTTTTATTACAACCTTCATGTTGCTCTGTTTAATATTCGTTGCTTCTTGATGTAATGTAAAAATTGATTTCATACCCATAACATCCTAATATTTATTCATATTTGAATTTTACTTAAAAGTAGACTATTTATTTACCTTTAAATCATTTAAAAACCAGTTGTATTACAGAAACTGGCATTTGCATAATACTTTCGCTTGTACATTGTTACATGATTTAAACTTTTACAACTTACTTAAAGATAGAAAGAAGGAGGATAAGAAAAGAGCTACAACATTAAGGTATTCCTACACTTTCATAAGGCTTAATATATTTTAGCTTTTTTTTTTCTTCATTCAGTGAGGCGACTTAGAATTTTGTTCTATCTGATCTTTCAGAAAAGCTATCCAAGGAGAAATTAAAATTTCTACAGAGAATGGAGAAACCAGAACTTTACAAAACACACCGGACTGGGCAGTGAGTATTTTTGCACCCGTGAGGTAACCCTAACGTCTTTGCTTCTCGTTTCATACTTTTATATTGTATGTTTTGACGAACAATGGAGGAAAGCATGCTTGGATGATATTTTTGCAATTATTATTCATAAGATAATAAATATACGTTTTTTTTTTCTTTTACACCTTAATTTCTGGTTTACGTCTAGATATCAATTCTTGCTTTTATTTTCATAATTAAATAATATTTCTTTGTTCTTCCCTTTTCAAGGCTTTAGTACTATTAAATTCTAATTACCAAAGTCATTTCAGATATCCTTTGTTTTGCCGCAATTCATTTTCCTTCGATTATTGAGATTTCAATAACGTAATGATATTAGCAAAGTGTAATTTTTTTCATAACCGTGGTGTTATAGCATTTATAATGTGGCATTATATACTTCAGGTAGCATATTTTACTTGTGCCACTTAAGTATCAGATGTAGCAATTATGTATTAGCACCACTTTTTTTCTGATTTTCATAAGTAAATGTTTAGTGATATCAGTCACGTACTTATTTTTCATTTCGTGTACATATTGTATTAATTTCTTCTGGATGTTAATCGCTAAATTAATACAATATTTATTATTTGTTATAATAGTTTCTTTCATATTAATGTCATGGTAGTAAACCACCATTGTTTCACGTTATGGTTTTATGTTTTGCACAGATCTAGATGTAGAACAAGTGGGGTAAATGTATTAATTACTAATAACTAATTAATTATTTTAATTTATATTCATTTTCTCAACTTAAAAATTGATAAGGATGAAACATGGATTCGTTGTTACTTTTCCGTATTTTCATACGTTCAAGATGTAACCCTTTTATTGTATAAAGTGTAATATCGCCTAAATATGTTCCATGTTTATTTTTGTTATTTATATTTACTTAGTCTCGTTCACACAACAGCCGTTTCTAAGCTTATTATGTTTATATATATTACAAAAGTAATTTTCATACCATGTAAATACTGTAATTTAGTTGTTTAGATAAAACACACACAGTTAAAATACAATTGAACATCAACTCGAGTATTTGACATAACTGGAAAACCAAAATAAATGTCATTACTGAGTAACTGTACATCGTAATTTTAACACAAACTATAAAACGAGAAATAAATTAAAAAACAACACTAAATATGAAGTAACGTGTTAATTCACCCTGCTAAAGACAGCGAACAAAAATTTGACCGAAACCAGAGAAATTTCAGTACTAGTTATTGTTTTTTGAAAGATGTGTTTTCTTTTACCACAACTGAGCTCTTGCTTAAATCCATTTCCTTCTGTACATTCACATCACCAAAAAATACTTTTACTGTACACTACAGTTTAATCATTACCTCAAATTGAGTCAAATTATGCCCATTACATTTCTAATGTTTCTCATATTTAGAGAATTACTCGGATACCGATAGCACCTACCATGGAAGCGAGAATACATAATCGATATGTCGATAACTAAAACATAAAAACTTAAAGTACTCAAGAAAACGTGATCGTGGAAGCTAACCGGGCTTCTTTTTCAAAAGGAAACATTATCTGAACAACGAAAAGGTTTTCTATGCTAAAAATAATTATTATTTTCAAGTCAACATCTTTAATCAATTACCTCGTCCAAAATCCAACATTTTTTATATTCCTTATTCACACAACATTACTGCAGTTTTCTTGCGTAAGTTTTAAAATTAAAAACTTTGAGAATCGAGCTGATTTTAATGTGTAATTTTAATAAAGTATAATCAACTGCCGTGCTAAGTGCTTACAACTTAGAAATTCAACTTCAAATATTACATAATTATTTCTACAAATCTCTATATTGTTTTGCTTCTTCTTTTGGCTTGGTCCTTACATACCGAATCATAAGACCTAAAGACGTAGATTAAATAACGTTCTTCTGAGGATATGTTAATTATCGTGTATTAATGTGTTACCATATTATAACCTTTAGGAGACAGCGATCAATGGAGACCATCTTTGGATCGCCACTAGTGCCTCTGGGGACTTGTGCTACGTAGGAGAAAACGACTGCTCGGTACGTCAACACTATTTTTAAGTTTTTATTTTCTAATTTAATATTTATAAATGTTTTTTTCTTTTCTTTTTTGAACTATGAGTCATAATGGTTCATTAATAACTTGAAGTTACAATTGGATCTTCAGGTTTTAAGTTTTGTTACAAGAAGGAATTTTAATCATAAGTGAGCATTACAGCCCGTTCTAGATTAATTTATCCATTAATTTTTTAAATTGCTCCTAAGTGAAATTTGGCTTGCAACCTAAGAGTGCAAAATAAACTTACTTAACCATCCATCAGATAAATTCGTTCTATCCTTCGGCGTGGTTTCATGTTTGATTGAGATGTATGAGTAGATATGACACGGCATGGCCAGGTGGTTAGGGCGCTCGACTCGCAATCTGAGGGTCGCGGGTACGAATCCCCGTCACACCAAACATGCTCGCCCTTTCAGCCGTGGGGGCGTTATTATGTGACGGTCAATCACACTATTCTTTGGTAAAAGAGTAGCCCAAGAGTTGGCGGTGGGTGAGGATGACTAGCTGCCTTCCTTCTAGTCTTACATGGCTAAATTAGGGACGGCTAGCGCATATAGCCCTCGTGTAGCTTTGCACGAAATTCAAAACAAACAAACAAATTACTGGATATTTTTTAGAAATTAGCAATCGTGGTAAGGTAGTTCAAATATCCAATAAATTAAACACCAAGCTGAAATTGAAATACCTTTATTAGTTTTTCTTGATTGATTAAACTAAAAGTTAGTAAGTGTTCTTAACTAACAACATAGCACCAATAAATGAAAGTTATAAATATATATATATATATATATATACAGTTGTAATTTTTAAAGTACAAATTTAAGAAATGTTATAAGAACTTTGTGTTTCTTCACAACATTTGATTTCTAGTGGGTAATTTTCTATGGTGAAAACATCTGAGGACTTTATCATTTTACTAGATGTTTGATTCGACGCGAAGTTCTTAAATACGAATACTCTTTGATTCCCAGAAGATACACATACGCGATTTTCGAAACGCAATTATTTTGTGTCCAAATTCAACTAATAAACATCGTATATGTCCTCGAAGTGTAATTTTTATTTTCATTTCATATAAAAAAGTTTATCAGTTAATGTCAAAAAACTGTGGCTTTCATGGTGATCGATCCATCAGACGTGTCCTCCTAAACTGAGTCTTAAGAGGTATGGTTTGCGACAATTCTGGTAGCGGCACTCTGACATCTAGTGTTGTGTTCTCTTGAAATGTTTTGTAAAGCCACCGAATACACCTTTCAAGTACGAAATATCAAACATAATAAATTTCCAGTTTAAAATGTCAAGACTTTGTCAACGTTTTAGGATCACGACGGTTTGTCTTAGATAAAATATCTTCACACCCTCATGTTATTCAGCAATACGCCTTAACGGTGACGGTAAATCGTACTGTGTGAATCTTTTTCGCTTAGTGCACGTGTACATGACAGCACGTACTTTAGAAACAAGAATATGTTAAAAAAAACTGTTTCCATACATTATAAAAGTGTGTTTTTTTTTAAGACTGAAACGCACTTTTGCGTCTCCAAAAGTGTTTTTTGTGGTTTTATCCGCATGAGATTTCTACTCATGGTGATCTTACTGCCGTTATAAATATAACTACATTTAGTTATGTGTTTTATGTTAAAATACATTAATAATTAATGGATTTCAACCTTTATTTATTTAAAATCGAAAATATCTGATATATTGATCTAGAACCAATTTCATAGCATTCGTTTTTTTGATAAAGTGAAATATAATTTACTTAGAATTAAAAACGTCACAAATATTTTTGAATATATGAAGGATTACACATCAGAAAATATATATAATCCTTAGTGCGATCTTAAGGGTAAAGTACACTCATTCATTAAATTTCTGAAACCATTTACAATACTGAAATGTAATATTGGCTCAAGCATTTAATTAGTCCAGGAAACAGTACTAGCAATAAGAAATCATATCTGTAACCAAGTGAAATGCACACAAAAATACTCTTATTGATGATATTCTTGTAAGTTAATTAGAATTTTCACGCATTTTACTCCATTCCGCTTGCTTCAGCAGTTAAATTTGTTTCCGACAAACATATACAGACACAAAAGGTGATTTATAAAGATTTGTATTAGTAAAAACTAAACTGTCATTAGATTTTTGACTCATTGTGGTTCATCATAACTTTCAGCCAAGCAATGATAACGCTATATAGTAAGGAATATAATGGTGTGAACTCCTACCATTTTCTACTCGAACTTCGCCCACAACAAAATTAAATGGATATGCTCATAGCGACAGTAATTTCCACCTAGGATGTACCTTTAGTCATATATCTAATAACACCGGAGGATGTGCACATCATAGTCTGCTTTATGACGTAGGTTTATCTTTGTTCGCTCACAAATTCTGGAAGTAATCCGTAGTGCGCCAAAGTTTTAAGAAGATTTTGTATATTGGAGTCAAAAATCATCTCTGGAAGGCACATCTGAAACATTTGAAATAATTGTTGGAATAAAATGAAACAATTTATGAGAGTTACGTGATGTTGTAGTCAAGGTGATAAACAATACTAATTTATGTGTTAATTCTATTTAATTACAGTTACACCAAAACAAATTTTTACTTTAATAAGAAAACGCGAAATTAAAAATATAAGCAAAAAATGAAATGTACGAGTCAATCCCTTCAAATATTTGAAAGCCAAAATTGATCATGTGAAAGATTAAGCATTGAAAATGTATCCGAAGTGTTCTCATATCAAAGTTCTCATACCACTATAGTTTCGAACGTCAACATGGATACCTATATTTCATAATCTGTGCCATATAATTTCGTGATTACACAGCTCTATTGTTAGTGCCCCTTCAGTGGCACAGCGGTATGTCTAGGAACATACAACGCTAGAAATCGGGTTTTGATACCCGTGGTGGGCGAAACATTTTAAAAGATAGGTTAATATTACATTTAATGCATAACAGACTGTTTTCTCTTAACGACTATCTTAATGACTATCAATAATTGCTGACATATTTTTACCAATATAGTTCATGGGGAATTAAAGGTCAGGCGTGACCTGGTGGTTAGCGTGCCAGCCTGTGGATTCGAGGTACATGATTCGCTTCTCGTTACCGAACAGTCATGTTCACTATTTTGGAGACGTGGTTGCGCTATCATAGTGAAGTTCAAACCTCACTTTTCGGGCTGTGAATGATATCTCAAGAGTTGGCGATAACTGATGCTGACTGCCTGCGATCCCGTTAGTCTATTGGACTAGGCCCGGCATGGCCAGGTGGTTAGGGCGCTCGACTCACAATCTGAGGGTCGCGGGTTCGAATCCCCGTCCTACCAAACATCCTCGCTCTTTCAGCCGTGGAGGCGTTATAATGAGACGGTCAATCCCACTATTCGTTGGTAAAAGGGTAGCCCAAGAGTTGGCGGTGGGGGGTGGTGGTTAG